CAAAAAAAAAAAAAAAAAAAGATGGGTGGGGAGAGCTGATGTGGGCAGGGTACTGAGAGCCACACTAAAATCTTCCATTATCACATTTTAGGACCCTACAGCTGATCTTTATTGATATTGTTCAGTTTCATGCATGCATGAGACAGCTGAAATACAGATGTCCAGGGCCTTGCTAGGGACCAACTCACAAGTCTTGCTCCTTACTCTTAGGTGTGCCTTCCATTACATACCTCAACCACATTTCTTGCCAACTCTGTTAGGGAAGTTTAGACTTCTTTATGGATTAGGGACTGTGATGCAGAAAGAAACAAAGGCTCCCACTCCATTGCAGAGACCTCTAGGGTAGTTGAAAACATCAGAGTCCCGTCCTCCACCATGATGCCGAGATGTGAGGAAGGGCAACCACGGAGGGGACACATTTGCAGTCAAGGTCTGAACTAGGACAATGTTGCCCCAGGAGGTGGGGCCATGCAAGACCCTGCTGGGGACTGGACATCTGTAGAGCCAGCTTTTTCCTTCCTGGGTGACCCAGCACATCTCACAGGAGCCCAGAGTCTCTGGTGAGCATCAACTGCCTTTGCTAATCACTCTAGAGTGTTTTGTTCCCCAGTGTGGGGGGCATTTCTGCACCCCTTTCACTGAGCTGAGAGAAGCAGCTGGTCACAATGACCCTGAATATCTAGGAAATCACTGAAGATGGCAGGGCACCCCATGTGTCCACTTTAGCCTCAGGGGTTGCTGGAAGGCAGCTTAAGGCTTTCTTGCCTCCTTTTTCCTTCTTTGAACATCCATTTCCTCTTTTTTCCTTCTCTGGAGGTGCCTGACAGAATTTCTGGTTCCTCAGTGTTGTCTTCTTTGGTCCACGCCCCAGCTCCAAGCCTCTCCTGCGTTCTTCCCGGCCATGCTGCCTGCCTTTCCAGTCACCCTGGAAACCAAGCCAAGCTAAAGTGTTAGGTGGTACCTCCCTGTTTATGGTCTCAACATCATCCTTTGAATTCAGAGCCCTGTGAATCCACAGACCCGGGCTACAGTCCTGGCTCTTCAGCTACTTCCTGTCGATCCTAGGCTCAAGGCTTCTGGGCTCTGCTAAGTTAGCAGGTTGAATTGCCATCTCAGGGGGTTCTTTAGGGTTCCAACATGGAGTGCTTCATCTGATGCCATGTAACAGCTTTCTGTTCTGTCTAGGAATAGGATCTACTCAGGGAGAGAAAGGTACACTGAGAAGGTAAGTGTTTTTGGAATCTCCAAGCCAAAGGAGTCATTGGGGGAGAGCTGGGAAAAAGAGGCAAAGCCTCTCTCTCTCCCTGCGCCCCCTCCATGTGTGTGTGTGTGTGTGTGTGTGTGTGTGTGTGTGTGTGTGTTGGAGATGAGGGGTGAAGGGACAGCAAGAGATCTGCTGGGAAATTTATGGCTAAAGATGCCTGCGTACATGCTCAACGGTGCATGGTGTGAAGTAAGAGAACTGGTGTAGAAGGCAGGGAGACTGTCTATCCCTGGGGATCCCTGCTTTAGCTCTATTGACCTGCCTCAGTCCCCTGGCATCCTAGGAAGAAGAGTTCTCTGGGAACAGACAACTGAGAGTTGCAGAATTGCTGAATAGGTGGAGACTTGCTTTGTGCAACACTCTGCCTGTCTGCTCGTCCAGATGAGCACTTTCCCAAGACCCATCTAACACTTGTGGGTGACTTTGTCCATTTCTATATTGTCACTCACAGCACCCACTAGTTATGTAAATAAAAACAGAGTGGCTACTTGCTATGTGCAAGACATTGGGCTAAGGTCTGGCAATAGAGAGAAAGAAGGAAGCAAGATCTGCTCTCCTGCTGCCAACTCTCGAAGCAGGGCCAACAGTACCCATGTAAGAAATTCAGTATGTAGTGGAGCATGGTGGTACATGCCTGTAATCCCACCACTTGGGAGGCTGATGCAGGAGGACTGCCATGGGTTTGAGGCCAGCCTGGGCTACATCATGAGACCTTTTCTCCAAAAAAAAAAAAAGAAATAAAGAAATAAAGAAAAAGAAATTCAGTATATAATTGCCTGTTGAAATCAGTGCCAAACAATACATAGACTGGTTGTCATAGTGGAGTGTATGGCAGAGAAGAGGGGAATCTAACTTAGATAAGGTGTCAGGCATGATTCCTTTGTAGAGGCGACTTTTACACAGAGATGTACCTGAGTGTTCACGCGAGCTCCTCGAAGGCAGGGACTTTATCTTATTTACTTCTATAGCTCCTGTGCTTACAGTGATGCCTGGCACTTATTATGAAAAATTGGTATCATTTTTATGGTATTCAATGAATGTTTGATGAATAAATAAATAAATGATGTCCTTACAGTGTTTCCTTTAAAGCACTATGTTCTTAATCACATGAGGACAATGATGTCAGGCAAATCTGATATTCTCATGCCCAGCCTGTCTTTATTCCCTCCTTTCTTGTCTGCCATTTGTTTATTTTTGCTCATATCTTCATTGGACATCTCAGATGTGCTCAGTCCAAAAGGGAAAACACACACACACACACACACACACACACACACTCCATTACCAACCACCTCCATTCCTGTGAACACTGCAGCTTTTCTCTGAGAAGCTGTTAAGCACTCTCAAACAGAGAAAACCCCTCATTGACTATCACATGCCTTCTTAAATGATCTTTGTATAGTGTTTTCTTTTTATTGCTTTGTGTAGTTTAACAGCACCAATTGTGATTACTCTAACTTATGATAAAACCCAGATCTATAAAGCTTCTGTTCATTCATTATTTTCCTGTTGTTCCTTCTCAAGCTGTTCTTTTTTGGAATGTAGTGAGAAGGGAGGAGTAGAGGGAGAAGAACACAAAAAAGATATTAGCAAATTAAGAGAAAAACAAATGAAATAGGGGACCACTTCTCCTTGGGTGACAGACACCCTATTAGATGCTGTTAAACAAAACAAATATGCTTTAATACAGCACAAGTAGGTCTTTTATATTTATTCTGAATTGGAAATATAATGCTCACCACTTTAATGGAGAAAGCAGGTAATTGTTCCAATATCTCACCAATTCCAGCAAGTGAGAAAAAAATAATTACTTTGCCAGTTGTTCAATGTACACCCAGATGTACATTGTGTGTACATTTTGAGTATTGGTATGGATAATTATAAACCATAAAACAGCTCCCCACAAAGTGCAGATGCTTTTTCTTATCTGGAAACGTGTTGGAGTTTGGGCACATGAGCTCTAGAGAGGGAAATGTGTACCATGGCTCTTGGAGTACCAAGGCTGTCTGGAATGGAGCTGGTCCCTCTCTCCCCTACCCCTCATGTCTTCCACCCTCCAGAGCCAAAGCTGACCCATCTTTGATCTACCTCTTGCCTGCTCCTACCCTGTCTTCCTTTTCTTGTTAGTTGAGCCTTGTAACTCATCGCACATGTTGGCTCATCTTGCTCACTACCCTGTCTCCTTGGTCATCATCCAGAAGCTGGGGTCAGACACTTGGAGCTTGGGTTTCAGATGCAGTCTGGCTCCTGGCTTTTTGACTCGTCCAATCCCCATGAACCGCGGTTCGGTTTCTCTAATGAGCATTGCCAGCCAGAGAACATGTCTATTCAGCACCACGGACAGAGGCATGCTGCCAGCTCCCACAAATTAGATGTTACTGCGGAGCGCTCTTGTCAAGGCAGTGGTGCTGGTAAGGGAGGGGGTGACTAAGAAAGAAAAAAATAAGTCAGTGAAAGAGATTGATGGGCAGAACACGAGATACACTGCCCCCACCCCTGGCTGTGCTCAGTCATAGGGCTTCCACAAACGAGAAGTGGCTTCTGGAGGCTGCTGCCTTCTTGCAGACAGGCAGTCAGTCGGGGAGGGGACTGCTTCCTGGGCTTAACTGTGCTGGCCTAGCTCTTATCAGACTGTCACCCCCATGGGTGCTGGTGACAGGCCCACAGCTCAGGTCTGTGGTACACATAGAAGTGTGAGTTTTATGGACAAAGGGTTGGGAAGAGTCAGCTGTAGAGCTCAGGAAGCAGTCCCTGGAACTATGTTGTGCTTTATCTCTGGGGAAAGAGATGATGGAGGTGAACTGCCTCCTTCTTGCTTGAATGGGAATGAGGGTACAGGGCCTCTGAGCCTTGGGACAGAGGGCCCAGTGCATGGCAAGCTGGGCTGGTGGGAAGCCAAGGCTTCATTTGTCTGACTTTAATGAATAAATGGCATCCCCAGCCATTGTTTATCTACTTTTGAATCCTGACAAACAGTCTGTGGCATCTGATGAAAAGGGTTATTAGCTGCACAAAGACAGATGGCAGGGGATGGAGAGGATTGGTTCTTTATTACAGCAGGCCCGTAAATGACAGCACTCCTCCCGCATCCCAGCTTCAACGTCAGTGTCAATACCATCCCTGGGTGTTTCATGATCCAGGAAAACCCCAGAGGAGAGACCCAGTGCAAGAGGAAGCCAGAGTGGTCCATGATAACAGGGAGAGGTGGGCCAATAGAGTTAGAAAAGAAGACAGATTTCCAAGTGTAAGCTCTTTGAGAATAAAGACACTATAACTGTAGTATCCTCCAATGTGCTCTGTAGGGTGTTATTTATCTGAATAAGCATTCAAGAAATACGAATGATAGACGAGAAGGATAGAGAAGTTTGGAGTAGGAAGATAACAGAAGTGACTTAATTGGGCTGGGTAAGTTGGTGGGGAACAAAGGTAGGGAAGCAAGCGGAAGAGAAATAAGGAATGCAGAGGGAGGCAGGAAGGTGTCCTAAGGAAAATGCTAGGAAGCAGCATCCTGCAATTCAGACATTAGCTACTTTTCCTGACATTTTACAAAGCGCTTTACAGCAATACTGAATGGTCCACTCTCTTTTCCAAGCTCCCCCAGGTTCCTTTTCTTGGTTCCTCTGTACCATAACAATAGGAAATAGTTTCCTCCCTCCTTGTTCCCCGAGAGACAGTGGGGAGGTTCCCACTGACCTTCATTCATTCTCCGAAACTTGTCCTTGGCCATGTAGCCCAGCACCAGACAGCATCCTCTCTTCTGGAAGCCCAGCTCTGAAAGAGAAGCACAAGCGGGTGAGTTGGGAGTGAGTGGCTGAGGTGTTAGAGGCTGTTCCATATGGGGCTGGAGTGACTGTTCCTAAAACAGACCTGCTTAAGCAACAACAAGAGTATCTATGTATATAATATTTATATAGCACTCACTACATTCTAGGCATAATTTTGTAAGTAACCTTTATCAGATTCTCATCACATCATGTGAGCTATGTACCTTTATTAGCTGCATTTCTTATCATCTCCATTTACAAATGTATTAAGTAAGTGGCCTTAAAGAGCTAGCAGGTGGCAGAGCTGGGACTTTGAACCTATGCTGCCTGGCTGTAGAATCCATGCTCATGAGCATTACTCTGAGCTAATGATGTCCTTTATATCCCAGGTTTGGGACTATGGCCAGACCTCATTGGGACTGTGGTCAGACCTGCTAGAAAAGAGACAGATACAGTTAGTGACATCCAGATGGAATAGTGCAACGATCTATAGTAGGTGACCCAGAAGGAAGACATGATGGAGTGAGTTTGGGAAAGACGCAGGGCCTGAGATCTAGGCAGAACTATTTCTACCTTTTAGATGCATTTGTGGGGCTGGGTGTTCCTGTTCATTCCTATATGAGGCACCATTCAGCATCATTGTTCAACAGTTACATGTATGGATTCAGACCCCAGGGTTGGGATAATTAAGTGATGCAAGGACCCATAGTACTTTGACCCAATGAGACAAACAAAATAGGTCAAATCCCAGTAGCAAATGTGAGGGACTCTCCTCCCTTCCTCTTTCTTTCTTTCTCTTCCACCTTCCCTCCTCTCCCTCCCTTCCTTTTTTATGGTGCATTTTGTAAATCAGTGTCTACTCTGTGTAGGCCTGGAGTACATCTGCCTCAAGAGAAGGCAAGTTTTCCTGTCTGGTATTTATCCTCCAATACTGATTTTTCTTAAATACTTTATGAGTCTGAAGCATTTTCATACTTGTTTTCCCTTTTGACCCTGGCAAGTAGGCAGGTGGGCAGTTGTTACTCATAAGACACAGATTGGAAAACTGAGGCTTAATGATGTTAAATGACTTCCCCTGATTGTTACAGACCCTCCACCTCCACGCTTAGAAATCACACAAATGTGACAACTGCCACAGACTGGGCAAATGGCTATGGGATTTGATGGCTAAAATTGAGAATGTGGTGGTAGCTCCCTCCAGGCCTTGCCAGGATTCCTGGGCACCTGGCTGCTTCATCCTCAGTTTCTCAGAAAAGAAGGGTCCCAGTGAGAGACATGCCACAATGGATCTCTTGGCCGGTCAGTGTCTCCGCTATCAGGGACAGATAGAGTAGGTCCCTTCCTCCTCTTGCATCTCCATCTCCTTCTGCTGTGCAGCCGCACCCTCCCAAGGCAGCAGGATAAAAGGGAGTGTAGAGGCCCATGAGAGGGAGCTAATCAAGCTTGGGGCTCATGCCCCAAGGAAAAACAAAGAATGGCAGGCAGTGGCAGAATGCCACAGCCCAGGGAGTTTGCCCACTTTGATCTCCTGGTTCTTTAAAGGGGCTTATTGACTATCTGTAAAGCGCAGAGGCAGATCTGAGAGCGCCGTTTCCAAAGGCACTTGCTCCTCTTCCTTCCCCTGCACACTCGCTCACTCATCTGAAGGCTCAGCCAACCAGCCCCCACTTCAAACAGCCTCGATTCTCAGGCATCCAAATTGACGATGTTAAGTTCTCCCATCCAAGGCCTTGGCCCTTTCTTCAGGCGCTCCTGCTCTGTCCAGGACCATGTGGATCAAAGCCCCTTTGATGTTTACTTACTATATTTGTGGATTCTTTCTAACAACCACCTCCAAGAATCAGGAATGCAACATGCCAGGAGGGGGCCGGGGGAAGTACAGGCTGCGTGGGTGTGTGTGCGCTGAGCTGCAGCCAGCAACGGCCCCTTGCTGGAGACTGTATTGAAACCTTGGGGTGCAGCGGACAGAGGTTAGCCCATTAGAATTGCAGGCATGTTGTCCATCACCAGAATGGTACAATTGCTGACTATTCCTATTACATTTGCATCAACTTCTGATGACCTGCTAAAGCATATCAGCAGTGGCTCCTAATGAGAAAGGGAATCTGGGTTCCTGGATTGAGCCCAGGAGCGAGCCCAGGGGAGAACTGAGGAAAGAGGACAAAAGATGCTAACTGGATATGGACAGTGTTTTGGTTGGTCTAGGCAGTCTGGGAAATGGGGGGCGGGGTGCAGCAGTTCTCCTAAAGATTATTTAGAGTCGGAGAAACTAATACTGGCTATCCTATGTGACTCAAATGTCAAGTACTAGGGTGTCCCTCAAAGGAGAGGCCACATGTGCACACAGTCATAGGCAGGAGTCTCCCTGACTATGTTTGATTTTTGTCAATGAGCAGGAAAAGAAGTTTTAAAAAACCTGATTAATAAAAGAAATTGAGGACGAGGTAATTTCTCAATGTATTTGGCTCATTTAATTTGACACGTGTGGGTTAGTCTTAATTATTTAGGTGGCTACATTGCAAGGCGCTAATAAGCACACGCAGAAATTTATTAAGTGAGGGGGTTCTTGGACTGAGCCTTTGCAGAGAAGCAGAGAGAAGCCTCTGGGATCTCTGCAAGGAGGAGCAGGTTGGAGGATAAGAGAAGTGAGAATTAGCTACTTTTGCATATATAAAAATTTGGGATGGTCTTTGGAGAGACTTACAGAAGTAAAGCACGGATCACTGAGTCCACATGTGGATCACTGAGTCCACTTCAGTGACAGAAGTAGGGGATGGGAGGAAAATCTGGAAATACAGCTGGGAAGGTGGGGTTTTGTTAAGGACCATACAGAGAACAAGGAAGAAGTAGGAAGTAGCCACTTTGACTTGGGAAACTCCACCAACTAGGCTAATAGATGGTAGAAGACAGAATAGGACAGAAAGAACAGGAACGCATCACTTTGTTAAGACCAACCTGCGGGGTCACCTTCCTTGTCACATGGCCCTGAGTTGGATGGTGGAGTCGGATTACAGGTGCCTGTTTGGAACAACAAGATGATAGGGGCTTCCTTTGGAGAGAAGGCTTTGGGGCCTGCCATCTTTGGCTTTGTCAGTAGCAAAACCACCCATGTGCACAGACAGCATTCATGGAAAATGATTGATACGAATGGAGTCCCGGCTTAAAAATAAAGCTCATAGGGCCGGGGATTTAGCTCAGTGGTACTGTGCCCACCTTACAAGCAAAGGTCCTGAGTTCTATCCCCAGTACAACCCCACACCCAAAAATGAAGGCTCATAACAAAGAAGTTCAAGGTAACCTGCAGATGGGGTGTAGAGGGCACTGTGCAAGGAAAACCGAAGCTTAGGCAGTACTACCAATGCAAGGAAACAGGCACTGGGATTGGGTGTTTCCTAGGGAGAAGGGAAGACAACACCCCAGGAATGCTTGGCCTCTCGACTGTGAACAGCAGAAGGCCCACAGAGCTCCCTTTTCAGCTCTGAGCCGATAACACAAAGCATAGTGCCTGGTACGTGACAAGTGCTCAAGAAAAATCTGCTGACTTGAGGAAAGGACTGATTAAAAAATACTGGGGAATGATTAGCTTTCCCCATCCCAGATCAGAATGACAACAAGTGGGCTTAAACGTAGCACAGAGCATTTAGGTTAGGTGAGGACCACTGTAGAGTGAGTGAAACTTGTAATTCATTAGAAGAGAGAACTGTTTCACAACTAGGGAACATTGTAGGATTTCCACTTGAGAGGAATAAAGAGGGACAACTTTATAAATGGAATAGATTTTTTCAGCCCCAGAGGGTATAGAAGGATCTTTTTCTAGCTTCAGAATTCCTTTACTCTTACTAGTGACAATAATGATACAGTGATACTATTTCACATTTGTGGGATACTTATTTTTTCATGACTGCAACATTCACTGTCTTGTTTGATGCTCACAGAAGCTTTGTGTCCAAGGCAGGGCAGAAATTATTTCCTCCATTTTGGTTTCAGAAACCAAGGCTCAGAGAAGTAAAATGATAAAATGACGAATCGGGGCCAAAGCTTTGGCTGTGGATGGTGTTCAGCCTAGAATTCCTACCTTATTTCTGCCTTAGTTCTCAGGATGAGATATGGGATTTGCAGGGCTGTATCTGCAAGTTGAGTCAGACTAGAGCACAGAGAGCAGACATCAGCGACCTGGGCTAGGGCAGTATCAGGCACTGAATTGTACCTCCAATGGTTTACACACTGATGTCTAATTCCTAAACCCCAAATGGGGTGCTATACAGAGACAGGGACTTTTCAAAGGTGATCAAGTTATGATGAGGTTATGATGCAGTATGACTGGTGTCTTTATAAAGTGAAAATTCAGAGACAGAAATGTATAACAGGGAGAACGCCACATGAACATGAAGACAATCTACAAGGCAAGGAGAGGGTCCTTGGAGTAGGTGCTTCCCTTTCAGCCTCAGAAGGAGCAATCCCACCAACATTTTGCCTCCAGAATTGTGTGAAAAAGCATTTCTGTGGGTGAGCCACCCAGCGTGTGGGGATTTGTTTTGGCAGCCATAGCAAACTCATGAAGACAGGAAGGAAGGAAGAGTTGGTTTCCCATGGGGCTTGGGTATTTCCATTGGTTGTGACTCTCTGGAATGATTCCTGGAGTCACCAAAGTGCCTGGAGTGAACGATATCACACAACAGCTCAGAGGTCTCAACTGATGGGGCAGCAGCCATCAAGACTGTTAAGGCTGGACAGTGCGGTGGGGTAGTAAAGACAAGAAGCAGTGAGAGGTGGGCAGGGAAGGCAGCTATGTGCCTGTAAACTCAGCACTACTCACTGCTGCCCTGGATTCCTCCAGAACTCCTGCTTCCAGTGTGAGGACCAGGCTGGCCAAGACAGTGCTCGCTTATTACTCCATTCAGACACTAATGAGATATCTAGTGACCTCAGCTAGAGCTGGTGAACAAGTGGTAGCCAGCCTCCATTCTCTCCCCATGTCTGGCTGTTCAGTACCTTGGGATGGCTGCT